CAGATTGTTCCTATGGCAACTATATGATATAGTAGTCCGATTCTAAATGTTCGATAGATAGAATACTATATGATATAGTCGTATATTTGTACTGACTGAACTTGTTTAGAATATCTTTCGAAATCAAAAACTTCTTCACATAAGAACTAAACTCTTAACCAAGTCTTTCGACATGTTCAAGTAATCCCATATTAATAAGATTTTTATATATATCTCTTTGTGATTTTGTTAGCAGCACATAGAATCTTTTGATAATAAATTTTGGTTGGGATAGCTTGAAAAACAGAAAAGTTGTTCAAACAAGTTAGGGGCCTATTTCCGGAATTAAAAAATTAAATTAGCATATCTTGAAAATCAAATTTTGATAAATAGTTTCTATGTCAACTATATAGTTATCCGATCTAACCTAGTACGACCTAAGTATAGCCAACTTCAGAAGACGCATCTAATCCAAGGGTCATTTACATTTGTTAATAGAAATAGGAATTGGAATTGAAAATTGGAATATGCTAAATGGAATTAGGTTTATAAATTTTGGAAAATGCTAATTTGAAGCCGTGGGGCACTTACCGAGCGATCACTGTATTTGTCCGCAATGTGCTGTCCCATTTTAACTAGCTTTTAATCTGAATGCTGAATTCCTAAATGCACCTTTTGCAGGTGGTTCCGAGTTCTACATCTGAAGCGCCAACGCGACGCCGCGTCTTTATTCCGTACACACGAACACACGCATACGCACGCACAACCAACAACACACACGCACACGCGCACAGATCGACATGAATAAATGTATTGGCAAAGAAATTGTCGGCTCAATGCCTCAGCCAGGTGGAAAAGTTAATGGTGCTGGGCCTGGACTTGCGCTCTATGGTGATTGTCTCGTCCTCAATGTTGTCGACATTATAGAATTCACGCAGCTCGGCAATGGCCGTCTCCTCGATCTGGGTATGAACCAGAGATTTGTTGCGCATGCGCTCGTAGCTCTCGCGCTGGCGACGTTCATCGGCCACGATCTGGGAGAAACTGTTGCCCGGCTCTGCTCCACGCATCATATTGGCAAAGGAGGTGGGATCCGAGCTGCTGCCCGTTGCAGCAGTTGGTGAGCTAAAGGGCTCGCCATATGCTGGGGGCGATGTGCCAGTTACGCCCCATGCATTGGGCACGGCGACGGGCGTGCTCAGCTCCAGCGGCTGAACTGAACTTTGGGCGCGCCAGCTCTGCTGCTGCTGCTGCTGTGATTCAGAGGAGAGACGCTTGCGCTGCTTCTGGGACAGCTTTTGGGCTTGTGGCAAGAGCGTGCTCAGATCCAGATTATAGCTCTTGCTCAGGGGCGTGCTGCACTCCGTAGGACTGGCGGATGGCAGCGGGGGCGTTGACTCCTTTACTGGCGGAGCACGTGGCGATATTGCGACCAAGTCCGGCGAGGGCTGCTCCTCCTGCTTGAGCACATTGTTAACTTTCAGCGCCGTCTCGGCCAATTTGCGTTTCTGCTCCTTTTTGTCCACAACGCGCGACCAGTTGGCGGTCTCAGCTGCAGCAGCTGCAGCTGATGTTTTCGGCGATGCTTCGGCATCGGATGCACTTATGCTCAGCGTACGCAGCATTCGGGATATGGCCTGCTGCTCATAGTGCCGCGCATCCTGCTTGTTGTGCAGCTCCTTCTGCTTGTGCTTGGCAACCTCCTTTAGCTTGGAATCCTAGGCAAGGCAAAGCATCAAGTTACAATTTGAATATAGATATAAGTAAAGCTCTGCATGGGTTCAGCTCAAGCTGACTCGATGCAGGGCTCTAGAAGGTAGACGAACCGCATCCATTCGGTAATCCAAATCAACTTCGCTGCCGTCCACAAAGCTGAGCAGCAGCTCATCCTCAATGGCCTCGGAGAAGGGTGTTATCTGGCGATACTCGTAGACCGTCTGAAACATCTTGCGGTAGTGCTCGTTGAGGCGCTGCAGGGTGCCCGGTTCGCATTGCTCAATGCTACGGTAGCAGAGCACCCGGGCCAGATTCTGGCAGATGAAATCCATGCAGCCCTGCTGCAGCAGTTTGCAATTGTACATGGCCGCAAAGTCGAGCATCTCGCCGCACTTGCGTATGCTGATCTTGTCCAGAATCAAGGATTCGCATACGTTCTGCAGCGATTCAATAAAGTACTGATCGCACAGCGTTATCATATTGTATAGAAACGTTTCCGTATAGTCTTGCCGGCAAAATGCCTCCGTGTCCAGGCTATACAGATAGTCCAGCACGGGCTCCATATACTCAACGGGCACGCTATCAAAATTGACCGTGCTACGCTCCGCCCACGAGTGCATGAACATCATCTCAAAATACTCCAGACGCGCCACCAGAACGCACTTGTGCGCCTCCAGCACTTGCCCATCTTCGCAAACGATCCGTATGTCGTAGAGTTCCGGATGATGGGAGCGCTGCAGACGACCAAAACGCTGCTTGACGCGCAGCGGCAACTGTTGCTCCGAAATGTAGCTGCAAGAGGATTAATCAGAATGAATGTAGGATTTGACAAACAAACTGTTCAACGCACCTTTGCACATATTTTGCCAGCTCGTGTAGCTGAAATTTCTCCAGATGCGTGTGAAACATTTCACAGACGCGGCTGCGCTGCGCCGGACTCTTCGGACCCAGACTCTGTTGCATGCACACAATGTCTGGCAAGCAAAAGGGAAGACTATTAAATTAGAAAATGAATACGGGTTTGTGAGCTGCCGCATTACCATCTTCTGTGGGCCAGTAGTTGGTGTAAATGTGCTTGAGCACCAGCTCGAACATTTTGCCCGTCAAGTTCTCGAAATTCAAGTAGATATCCTTGTCCAGATAGCAGAGCACCAGCTCGCGCAAGCCCGGCGCACGGCTAAAGACAATAAACTTGTGCGCCGCAAAGTTTTCGCCATCCACATGAAAGACTATGTCATGGACGGCATCCGCTTCGCTGGTGTCGTGGTAGAGCTTCTTGAAATTGTGCTCGCGGCGCGGCAGTGCGGGCTTGCGAAAGTACTTGAGATGCGATTCCTGGAGCACGGCAAACGAGGCGAAGCTCTCGTCGCAGACAATGTCCACGGCACGATCGATGTTCGGCACACGCTGCAAATCGATGCGGACATAGTGCTCCCTTGAGATTTCCGTGCGATGCTGATCATTGTTCTGCCAGATGTCCTTGTTCGTCTTGGGCTTCTCCTGTGCACCCGACGGCAGAGTCAATTGATTGCACTTGCCGCGATACACGCAGCCATCCATGGAGAGCACCAGCACCTGGTTGCACTTGTAAAGTATGCGCTTGATTGCGGGCAAACGTATGGGCGCAAAATTGCATCTGTAAGGGATAAGCAGGTTAGGGTTGGGTTGAAGGCAGGAATCGAATAGACTGTGCACATACCTGTAGAACTGCTGCGTATTCTCGTACCAGAGGAACACCACATTCGTCTCGGTCAACATCATCAGCTTGAGCGCCGCAATGGAGCCTTTGACGGAGTTCTTCAGATTGCCGCCCATCACAGCGATGCTCTTGAGATCCTCATAGCTGATCGGGGTTTAAACAAATTAGATTGGTTTGGGTTAAGATATGGAAATGCACTCACTTGGGCGTCTTTAGGGTTCTGGGCTTGTCGGCATAGAAGAGCAGTATGAGCTTCTCCGCGGTGTAGACGACCGTGGCCGCATTGTTGGCCTCCACGAAGCGTATGACTGTGCGATCCGCCAGCTTCATCTGCAATTTGGGGAGGCTTTAGTGCATGCTGCTTAGCAAACGGTAAACGCTACGTGCCAATACGGGCGCCACAATTGTCCTGGTATTGCAGCTAATGCCCAGCTGACCCTGATTGGCACCCCAAACATAGATGCACCGGCTGCTATACGCAATCGAATGATGATCGCAGGCAATCACCCGCAACAGATCGCTGGCGCCCTTGTCGCGTAGCGCGACCACCTCCTTGAATGTGGTCAGATGCTCGCCGGCGTCACGCACGCCCAGCTGATGGGTATCGTTGATGCCGCAGGCATAGACCAGCGATCGATTGGTGAGCAGCAGCGAATGCTGTCGGGATACGCTGAGGGAAATGATGCGCTCGTCGTTGTGCTTGAGCGGCAGCTTGACACGCTTGGGCGCCGGCAGACTGTTCTCCTGACCAATGCCTAGGCGGCCGCCCTTGCCGTGACCCACGGCATAGAGATGACCGCGCTTGTCGCAGAACAGACTGTGATAGGCGCCCAGCGCCACGTGCTCCAGCCACAGATTCGATTTGCGAAAGAAATCCAAGGCCTGCGGTGTGAGTGTATTCTGCTCATTGCCAATGCCCAGATTATAGTTCTTATTGGAGCCCCAGACAAGCGCCTCATTGCTGCGTGGAAAAAGCCGGGTCAGTGATTCGGGTTTCCTCTGCTGTTCTTTGTACTCACTGCGATTCGGCGTTGGCATCTATATCGCATTTCCGGCATATTGCCTGCAGCGGACAGCGCGTATCCTCATCCAGCAGTTCCAGGCTGGCGCCGTAGCGCAGCAGCAGCACGGCGCAGTCGATGCAGCCGTAGTACAGAGCCCGATGCAGTGGGCTGCTGCCGGACTCAAAGTCTGGCTCATTAATGGGCGCGCCATGGTTAAGCAGCCACTCCAGTATTCTGTAGCGTGCCACGGAAGCGCACATGTGCACGGCGGAACGGCCCAGATAATCCGTAATATTTGCGAAATTGGCACACGTTTTGGCTACAAATGCCGCCAGCGGCTGATCCTCAATGGAGCGTTTGGTGAGCGCCGCCGTGATGCAATTGCCATGCTGTACTTGGCGGCACTTGACGGTGCAGTCATAATCGTGATTCCTTAAAGCTGGCATGCGAAGCTTACAATTTAATTGTTAATAAATAAATGCCGCAACTTCCTCTTGTTAAAACCGTACTAACAAAATATTGTGAACTCGAATGAACTACTAGTTCGCAGTGAACTGATAGCTACAGCTAAAAATACTAATATTGGGTTTGCTGGTATTTTTGCTCTTACGACATGCGTTCACACTGCATTCCACTTGTAGTTGTAGTTGTTGCGTGCAGAGCATACAGAAGTTCCGCGCACTAGCTACGTAAGTTGAGGTGTTAATTTATTGATAAAATAAATGCAATTGCATATTATGTAAATGGAACAGCACAAATAATCAACTCGCATCATACGGAAGTGGCTGCCATGCAGCATAAGTGATTAAATGTGTAAAAGTGTTTCTGTGTGCGTGTGTGTGTGTGCAGGAGTGTGCTCCAAGCGGAAATACATTGAGATTGAGTCATAAACGCGTCATATCTGTGATATCAAAATACGTATTGTGTTGTCATAGGCATTAATTTGATTAATTCAATTAGTATGCAAAACAACAACAAACGATTTATAAGTATACATACGCAAACTGTATGCAGACACTGTAGTTGAAAATTGTTACTGATTGTGTGTGAGTGTGCCTGTGTGTGTATTGGTGTTGGTGCAGCTCGCTCATCTTTATTAATTAATTAATTACTTGACCTGTGCGGTCAGAATGTGCGCGTTAAAGTCGTTATAATTGTTTGAAAATAATACATATATAGCATACATACATAGTACAGACAGAAAAGCAATGGAATAGTTTGCCTTAAGTTCGTGTGCACGTAATACTTGTTTACATACACACGTATGTGTACATATAGATATGCTGCCAGTGCATAAGTGCGCGTGTGTGTGTGAGCGAAGTTTCTCTCAGTAGCTGCTGCTCATTTCGTTTTAATTTCTTTCTTTTTTTTTTTCGTTATTTACTTTTAGTTCACACAGATCAGGTTTTCCAGTCAAGTGTTGTCCTCGCTGCAGCTGCATTACATTACATTTCTTCGTCTCCCTTTTGAGCGTATTATTCTGAAAGGTGCGAGAGGAGAGAACAAGTGACTGGGCACGTTGAAAGCGAGAACTCATCCCCCGGAAATGCCAATAGAAAAAAAACAACGACAAGCATAAGCATATAAAGCGCATGCATAAAGAAAGCAACTAAAGCGCAATGCGATCAAGTTGAAGAACATAACGAAAACAGAAAACAACGCATAAGAAGCCGTGTGCCAGAGCGAGAGGGAGGACAGTTTGGAGTGCAGAACTAAATCAATGCAGCTTTTTCGCACTGGAGCAGCCGCACACATACATACACAGCCAAACACAACAGACGCACACACACACACACACACACACAGACGCACACCTAATCTTTGGCACAAATTTCTGAATGGAATAATTATGTTGTGATGGGCTCGTGCTCGTGTACACGGCGACACTTTCTGTTGTCAACATGCTTCCTGCAAATGGTAAGTGTGACCATATGTCTGGCCCCATTTAATATTATTGCATTTATCTTCTTCCTTTCTTTTTTTTTCATGTGCATGCAAACAATGCGTGGTATCTATCTGTTTTTTTTTTCTCCCCCATTTACCAAATCGACAGATAACGATTATCGAACGCCAGGTATTCGATTTTCTCGGATACATGTGGGCGCCCATATTGGTCAACTTCTTTCAAATACTGTTTATCATATTCGGCTTCTATGGCGCATATCATTTTAGAATCAAATACATCATAACCGTAAGTACCGCACCACACTTCCCCTGCTGGCACTCATTTTGAGATAAGAACTGTTTGATAACCCAAATTTTTCTTTATTTGGTCAGTATTTACTATGGAACTTTGTTTGGATCGGCTGGAATGCGTTTTTAATATGCTTCTATTTGAATGTCGGCAGCCTGGATAGGGTGAGTAATTGGTGTCAACTGGAAAGCGTGATTGGGCAAACAGGAAAGGGCGCAACATGACCAAAATATCATTATCATACAGAATGTATTCTATAGATATTGTATACGAAAATCCCACTGCAATTGCCAACGAGTTAAAGCTTCAAAAGGGGGTTAAACTCGAGAATAGCTAGTCAAGTCTGGAGGAGTCTGGGCAGGGCGCAGCATGCAAATAACATTAAGAGCCAAACTTTCATAATCTAGTCAAATGTATTCTCTAGATATTGTATACGAAAATCGCACTGCAATTCCCAACAAGTTAATGCTTCGAAAGGGGGTCAAGAGCGTGAGCGATTCCGGAAGTGAAAATCAACTATGTAGAGGTCTGGATGGTTCTTGAAATACATCAAAAAACATAATTATATATATATATATATGAAATATAATATTCATAATATTCCTTCAATGTACACGTACTTTGCAATCTACTTTCAAATGTTGATAAGTTAATCTTATCTGAGCTATGAAAATCGATGCCAACAATTTGATATTTTCCATTATCTGGTTCGCTTTACAGGATAGCGATCTGCTCAATATGGGCACTGGCAGCGTTTCCTGGTTCGAGGCGAACGGCTATGGCTGCAAGCCCACCTACAATATCACCTCGGACGATCCGTATCGGCCATTGCGCCCGGAACGCGTCGAGGATTGTCTATTGGACTACCCGCTCGTCGAGGTCATACACTCGGGCGCACAGTGCGCGCTGGCGGTGAGCATACACACACACACACATATATATATATATATATATATATATATATAGCTATATGCACAGATCTGTTAATCAATTTAAAGTGCCATAAATTGTGCCCACTCTCACTCACATGCCCTCTCTCCTACCCCTTTAGCTGCTGGGCATACTTGGCGCGATTCTGATCAGCTGCATATTTCTCGATGAGGACGACAGATGTAAGTTGCTGTGAATTTCTATATGCATACATACCAACCGACTTATTGTGTAATCATCAAACACTTTTTGGTAACTGGTTCTTAACAATTGTAGTTTGTCTTCAATTTAACCACCTTTGTGTATATATATTTATGTTGTATATTACGATAATTTCCAAACCTTTTGCCTCCCCGCGTTGTAACAAAATTAAGCCGAATGTTTGTTAACGCAAAGACTATCATGTTTATATACATATTGTATTGTTAAACTATAATATTTATTTATCATATAAAAAATGTGTTGTGTTATATGAATTTCGATGCTTTGATATATACAAAAACCCGCCCGGAATGCCGCCCGTGTCTATTGATTAACCATGCGCCAAGAGAATGTTTATATATATAGATATATAAAAAAAAAAAATGAAAGCAAAATTGTTATGCATACCACAAACCATATACATGTATGCCACATATATACCATATATCATATACATTACATAAACATATGCTCGTAAACGTAATCCATGTTATTTATGTTATAAAGAAAGAGATATTGTATTTGCTTATATGGCTGTTAAATTGTGCAAGCACACACACACACACACACACACACATATTATATATATTATTATAATGTTAAAGCATCTTAAACAATTTCTGGTTTACAGTCGATTTCATGAACGGCGACGCGAAGAGTCCACAGCACACCGTCGTCCATCCAATGTACGTGAGCTATACAAGTATACCAACAACATCCGCAAGCGCCACAATGCAATCAAATAAACAGACGCAGACGCAAACGCAGTCGCAGTCGCAGCAGCAACAGCAACAATATTCACTGCAATTCTATCATCAACACAGACACAAATCGAGCAACCACAACTACAACAACAACAACAACAACAATAGCAACAACAATAGCTACAATAACACACTCAACCAGCCACAGCCACAGCCACAGCCAGACACAGCAAATAACCCACATTTAACCCACACAAGTGGCAGCAACAAGTCGCAGACTCGCCATCAGCCACATCCTCAGCAGCCGCCACCCAATGAGAGCCAGCAGCGCCGGCGTCTCTATCAGAGCAGATCACCCGCTTTGAACTCTGTCAGTCCCATGTCCGTTTCGGCACAGACCACGCCCTCGCTGTCCTACGCCTCGCTGCAGAACTCGAATCCGCAGCTGAGCAACAGCAACTATAGCATCTTTCATGCTGCTGTCGATAATTCGGGCAGCGGTCATTTTGCGCGCATCCATCACAAGCCGAAGGCGCCCAAATCTCTGCCAGATGTGAAGCATACACAGCTGGCTTTGGCGCGCTTGTCGCGCAATCTGGAGGAGGATGAGGATAGCTTTTCGCTGCCGCATTTGTCGCCCGATGGCGTCAGCTATGTGCCCTTCCAGAGTCCCACGCCCGAGAATAATAACTTGGCATTCGGTTCCGTTCAAGAACCACAAATCCCGTCTAGTCCCAATAACAATCATTATACTTCATATGAACAGCATGTTGGCCTGTTGGGCTATTCGCCCAAGTTGCTGCGCGGCGTGCCACGCCCCACTCAGATAGCGCTGCCCACGGTGCCCGTGCACAATTGTGACCATGTGGAGCCGCCACTGGAGACGGCATTGTCGCTGTCGCTGTCACCGCCGCCGGCGCCGCGTCCGCATATTTTCCAGCCGCGTCTGGGTCAGGCGCCCTATCCGGATCTCTCGCCCGAAATAGCCGAGAAATATGCCATGCCCACACAGCATGTGTCTGCCGCCGGCTCGCCCATGGTGCGACGCAGCCAGCGTCGACCACGTCCGCATCCGGCACCGGCGAATTTCTGCGATCAAATACGCGACACTCCGCCCGGCTACATGGTGCGCACGCACAGCGATGATCAGCTGGAGGAGCAGCTGCAGCAGCAGGCGGCGCCGCATGTCAATCGTCGCAGCGGCCGCAAGGCTCGCCCGCGCTCCTTCTGCAACTCGATTGTGGGCTCCCAGGCCTAGCTGGTACCAATTCCAACAGATCCTCAATGCTGCATTCCACTTGATTAGTGACCAAATCTTATAGACTTTTAGAGATTCTCCAGCGGCGGCTGCTGCTCACGCGATCCGCAAACCTTATTTGTTGCCGAACCGAAGCTGAAGCTCTCCTCGTCTCTCTTCCGCTCTCTGTCTCACACGAACTCTCTTTGACTCAAGTAGGTCCAGCTTCTATACATATATAAACTCACTCTCTCTCTCTCTCTCTCTCTTTGTCTGACTCTCTTAATATATCTATATATATATATATCTATACTGCGGGTGCTGGGCGATGTGCCGCTTGTGTCCCATGTGTTGTCCATACTAACTAACTGTATATTACATTTAGTACATGTTGTCGTCTTTGTTGTGGCTAACATAACTTTTTACGCATATTACGATTTACGAGTTCGTTAAATAGGAACACTAGAGCATAGTACACAAAACACACTTTGGGTGCAATGCAAGTCCAAGGAACACCAGATAAAGCACTTTGATTGAACAAACTGTTCCCAATTTGAGTGGAACACGAGATGGGAACACCAAGATAGAGTACAGTTAATTACACACTTTAAGTGTTGTTAAACAAGATGTTGCCAATTGTTAAGTGTTATGATAAGATGCTGTTTCTAGTTAAATTTTAAATTTAAAAGCTCTTCTCATTTCAAGTGCAATGAATGTTGCCTAAATTAATCAAAACTGTTCCCAATTGGAAACGTTCGCTGAAAAGCGCAAAACTGCAATGCGAGTTTAAAATGCTGTTCCCAATTATAAACTGTTCTTATAAAGCTAGATTGGCAGTTTTGAAAAACTGTTCCCTACTTGAAGCAAGTGCAATGCAAGTCACATGAATTGTTCTCAGTTGCCAAGATATGAACAGTTAAACTAAGTACTCACTTAATATGCTGCTCACTAAACTGTTCCCATGTTGCTGTTCCCAGTTAAATGGAACACTGGGAATTTGAATAAATTCAACATGCAAAATGATTTTTCGGTCTTGCATAGCATTTGAAGTGAAAATAGAAAAAAAAACTAGATTTAAGCTTAAATCGGATGCCTTGAAAGCCATTTACTAAATTATGTGACAAATCGCACACATACACACATATGCATATACATATACATAAACATATACTAACACACACACACACATGTGAGACTTTCCATAATGGCTGAAACATTATGAATTGTGATAAAAAAAAAATGTTACAAAACAAACAAAATGAGAAGAGAAGAGTAAAGAAGGGAGGAGAAGCGGAAAGTCCAATGCCTTCATAATTTTATGTTAAACTGTGATACTCTACATAACGATAAAAAAATCAAAAACAATTTAAACACAAATGTCACAAAAACAAAAAAAAAGAACAAAAAACATTTATCGAAAAAAATCGAACTAACTAAAATTTAAAAAACCGATACGAAAATTGTTGAAAAACATTTAGAAAAAGAAATTTAAATGAATGCCAATGCAACGAAAATGCCTTTAAAACGGAAGCCCCTCTCCAAAGGAACTACTTAGTAAAAAACAAAAAATAGTTGCCTTCTTGTTGAGAGAAATTAAACATAAACAAATAAACGCGTGTAGTTAGCGAGATTCGTTAAATATATATATATAAATATATATCAATTGTTAAGTCTAGTGTTAAGCTTTACACGAGAAATTCGCTAATTAGCAATTAGGCAGAAATCATATAAATATATATGCATATATGGAGTACATAAAATCGAATTATATATATATATATATATATATATATATATATAACATAAATGAGCTAATTGCGTGCCAATTTCTGCAAAATGATTCAAGCGTTTCCCCGAAAATAAATGTTCATTTACACAAATCTTTGGCCTTTAACTAATTATCGATATATCTACCTATCGATATATCGATCTATCTAGCCAACTGGTTAACACGGCTTTTTGTAGCGCACTTGCGACTCTTATAATTATAAATTAAGCTTATTATTTATTTACGTAAATCGTAGATATTATTGCTTATCGAACTATCGGTCTATCTGGTTTATCGGCTTTTTTTTTTAGCACTTTCCACTTTCTTCTAATCAAAATTTAAGCGTTTATCTATTTTATTTTTTGCCCATCGAGCTATCGTAATATCGGTCTATCAGGTTAACACGGCTTTTTTTAGCACACTTTCGACTCTATTCTAATTGAAAATGATCGATAGTTGGTCTATCGATGTATCGTACTATCGGTCTGTCTGGTTAATCGGCTTTTTGTAGCGTACTTTCGACTCTTCTAATTATAAGTTAGGCTGATCAATTACGTAAATTTTTATCGGTTATCGATCGCTTATCGATATGTCGAGCTATCGGACTACCGATCTATCTGGTTAACTGGCTTCATGTAGCGCACTTTGGCTCTCTTCTAACCAACAAAATCAACGTAAACGTATCTCTAACGACTCTCTCTCGTAGCTAATCCCGTATCCATTTTAATCACACACCAACAACCTAACCCGGCCAGGTAACTGCTGCTCTATTCGCTGAAGCACTCGCTCCACATTTAACCAGCTATTCACACGCTCTTTGTTCTGTTTCCTGCAGTGCAGCACATTAACAAGCAGTCGAAGCATCGCCAATCGCTGTACTCGATGGAGTTTGGCGCCAGCAGCGACACCATACGACATCGCAGCGATCTGATGCTGGGCCTGGGATTGGGCCTCGGCGGCGATGGCGATGCACGCGATCAAAATGGCGGCGAGCTGAGCCCCAAGCCGATGACGCCGCGTCGTGTCAAGCGGCGCTCGGTGATGGCGCGCGGCACCCACGGACGGCAATCCAGCAGCGGCAGCACCCGTCGCTCCCATCACGGCTCCAGCAGCACGTTGCGCTCCAAGCACGGCGGACACGGCGACAGCAGCAGCGGCAGCTATGTGCGCAGCAGCACGCGCAGCTCCCGGCGCAAGTACCAACAGAATCCGGTCACCAAGCTGCTCGATCAACAGCAGCTGCAGCAGCAGCAACAGCTGCAACTGCAGCAGCAGCAGCAGCAACACCTGCATCAGCCGCCGCCGCCGCCGCCACAGCTGGGCTCATTTCATCGCTCCTCGTTGACCGCCTCCAATTTGCAGTGCCTGCACGACGACAACAACGTGGCCGTCGGCAGCCTGGGCAAGAGCAACAATCACTATTATCGCCGCAACATACCGCTGGATCCCATTTACTATAATACCAATGGGCAGGGCATGCTGCTGGAGCAGCCGGCAGCGTCGCCGCCGTTGCCGCCGCCGCCGCCGCCACCTGCGCCGCTGGGCGGCGGACACTATAATCCCAGCTATCAGCACTCGAATACACAGCTCAACGATGTGGGCCACGCTGGCGATGAGCTCTACAACAATCGTCCGCCCTCGGTTCGCTCCAGCTACTCGAATTTCCATGGCTCGCGGCCGCTTGCCGCCGCATACAATACCACGGAGAATGTGTTTGTGGGTCTGAGCGGCGCCAGCGCCAGTCCGCCGCAGCCGCCCTGCACGCCGCCGCTCTACCAGCAGCATCCGCTACACCAGCAGCAGCAACAGCAACAGTATCTGCCGCCGCCCGTGCCGGAGCCGGCGCCCAACTATGTCAGCTCGTCCTCGCACGGCCATATATCCTTCTCAAAGCGCACCGCATCGCGGGAGAGCATACGCTCGATGGCATTCCTCAACAACGGGCCGCCCGCCTACAATCTCAACTATCACACGCCGCCCGACTCGGAGACAACCATGTGAAACGCAAACCAGTTCCCATCATCTGTCGACTCTCAGCCAAGATCTCGATTAGCTCTCGAATCGGACTGCTCGTCTATATAACTATATACAACTATATATATCTATCTATATATATATATATATAGTGTCTAGGGTACTATTTACAGCTTCGCCTTGAGCGTATATTTATCGTAACTGTTTACTTATATCCATATCTTTAAATGTATTTAACGTATGCCTAAAATATAGTCGTAAGCTTCGCGTCGTTTTACCAAAGTGCCTTTGTACATAAACAACAAATAAACGATTCTTTTGTATGTATATCGATTAGCATTATGATATATAGATTATGGCAGAGTTTCAGTTAAGGATTTGATTTACTTTATCTGGATATATATATACAACTGGAAGAACTTGGAAGCGCTATGTTTAAGATATGTTCGATCCCTAAACTTTGTGTTTAGCATTATAATATAGATTCTGGCATAGTTTAAGCTTAACCAGAATTTAATTGACTGTCTCTATATATACGAAACGAGAAGAACTCGGAAGGATTACGTTAATATTGTATCGAAATTGAGGGCAACCTCAGGCCTATGTCGGAGAAGGCAGGATCGAAATACAATATCAATGGAAATATCGATCGAAAATAAAGTTTTTGGTTTATTCTGACCAAACTTTAAATTTTCTACTAATTTTTTTTTTGGGTTTCTAATAATTTGCAAGTATTAAAGTTTATATGAATATTTTTGATAGGTTTACCCAGATGATTGTGCTATTCCTTGCGACATACTGGAAATGGAAGAGATGGAGGAATTATAAGATTGAACTTTATTTAAAAATGTTTCGACTCACGCTCATCGGCATCCCAGCCGGGCTCGATATCCAGCTGCATGTTGCGCTCCTTTAGCCAGGTGAAGAGCGGGGCAAAGTATTCCAAGACGCCACGCCCACTCAGCTTACGTTCGCCCGTGGCAATGTGCATAATGTCGCGCCAATGCCTGGTGGCGCCCAGCTGCATCATCTCGCTGGACAAGATATGGAATGAGACGAGCCTGGCTTAAGATGGTTTGCTATACCTACCGGAGCAGGGCGCCCGCCTCCTTGCTGTCGTAGAAGTCGCAGTTGTGCAGCGGATAGCTGGGATCTCCTGGCTTGTATTGGCCGCTGGCCAGGCAGAAGGCGCGATAGAACTGAAAGCCCAGAATCTCCGTGATGAACTTTCTGTTAGGAAGAAAAGCAAAGCAGGATTAGTTAAAGATTTAGGAGCACATTGAAGCCTGACCTGGTATTGGAGCGTTCCGGCTGCATGCCGCGATAGAATTTGTAGTCCAGGTCAAAGTCCTTGGCGGAGCGCCAAATGGGCGGCTGTACGCCCGCGTATTTGTCCTGCAGGCGCCAGTAGGCGCAATTGTAATCCTGGACACCAATGCGTCCGTCCATCACATCCACCAGAAACTTGTCGTTGATGAAATACTGCGGCACGGCCAGCAGCGTATGTACGCCCATGCGGAACAGCCGATTGAGCGACTGATGCTCGGTCAGGCTGTCGTTGAGCAGAATGTGCAGGCGGTGCAGGTGACGCGGTGTGCCCGAGGCCAGGACGGCTGTTTCGCCGAGGGCAGCGCCAAAGCCCGGACACGGCTCGGTGTCGAGGCCGAAGGGCAGCTCCCGCTTGTAGATGTTGTACTGCAGCTCGGCCATGGTGCCGTGAATCTGCATCATCTTCTTGTAGTCCAGCTTGGGGCAGTAGCGCAGCGCCACATCCGGCGGAAAGTAGTACACCTGCGACTTGCAGTCCGGCCCGCCCTCGTCGTCGTTCATGCGCCGCGAGTAGCGCTCATAGAAGCCGCTACCAACAAGTTAAAATATGTCTAAACGATTCTCCATTGTGCTGAGCCACTTACTCGGACATGTGATTCAGGCCTAGGGACTCGAAGAACTCGGTTGCCTTCTTGTTAATCTTGACGGGCGTGACCAGCACCTCCTCCAGTCGATGATGCACCGAGGGCAGCTGATCCTTGGGATACGGTGAGCGAAAGATCTGATGCGAGTACCATGCCTGCGACAACATCTGGTCCATTACGGGCGCCGAGATGGCGCCATCATCCTTGAAGTTGGCCTTCGGATAGGCCAGCATCGCCGAGTGCCTCAAATAGGCATGCATTTCCCGATACAGCGGCATTATCTCCCAGATAACTGGGAATATGTTGAATCATAAATCATCGAATTTTTAACAACAACACTCAATCAGTCAATCAATCAGTCAGTCAATCTGATTGATCAATCAGTGAGCCAATCAATCAGTGAGTCAATCAATCAGCCAGTCAATAAATCAGTCAGCTAATCAATCAGTCAGTCAATCAATCACTTAGCAAAAATAGTGTAAACATAAATAGTTTTTTTTTTTACCCTCCTCCATTTCGGCCTGAAAGTTCTCGGTGTCATAGTAGAGGTACCAGGTGCGCGAGGGCGTCACATGCCCATTGTAGGTGGCCGCGATGCGCAGCAGACGGACGTAATCGATGAATGTGGACTTGGCCGTATCCTTGTCGTTGATGGCGCTGCGCCAGCTGTACCAGTTGAGCTTGAGATCATCGTAGCTCTTGCTGCGCATATTCTGATTGTAGATCTGCGGATACATGGCCAGGGGCCGGCGGGCGGAGCAGTCGTCGTGGGTGCAGACCAGCGAGCCGCTTATGAAATTCTGCATGGCGCGCAACAGATCCTTGGCCTGTTCGTAGTCGGCGGGCCGCAGGCCCTGCAGCTGCAGCTTGGCCAGACGCTGGACGCGACGTCGCAGCAGCGGATCCCTCAGCTGCTCTACGGGCACCACGCTCAGATTCGCTGCCAGCTCATAGACCAGCTTATACGTTTCCGTTTCCACCTCCTGCTTGCTGGGCGCCTGACCGCCCAACGGCGACTTGCCCTTCGAGGTGAGCTGCAGAAAGATGCGCCTGCGCATATCCCAAATGCCGCGCATACGCTCCGTGGCCACATCCAGTATACGCAGCGTCGACTCCTCATATCGGGCGGAATGATTCGAACTGGGCGTGGCCCCGCACGCCGTGGCGACCAGCAGCAGCAACAGGAGTCGCTGCCACAGCATGGCGAAGATTGGATTAGAGCTGGCTTCCGCTGAACAGCTGCTGCAGATAACTCTTGGCTTATCGCGCAAAACCAGAATATGCGTTGTTTTTTATTTAATTATTTTCTTTTTTTTTTTTTTTGTATTTACGTTCACCCAGCTCTGAGCTCTGGAAACTCTAGATGCGCACTGAGCGCACAATTTCAATGGGGTGTTTCTATCTGGGCATTAATTTGAACGAAGGCGTGGGCGGTTTATTAAGTAGTCGCATTTGTAGTTCCATAAAGATGCCCCGAGAGTGGGAGAACTATATGAGATAACATTCTAATTCCACTCTTCTATGTCAAGATCTACCCCCAGTCCTTCAATATATATTATCCTATACCATTAAAATCTTCGACATTTTCATAATATTCTTAAACACAACTCGAAGACTTTAAGAGCTAGAGCCACCAAATTTGGTATGTAATCGCGTGTATAGCTTACACAGATTCCGAATATTTCACTTTTTGCCTAACTCCCTCTGACTTCCTTGAAATTGCAAAAATTGTTGCACTCTTGGTGCCACAGTCTTGGGCTTTGAAATTTACACCCATTTTTATGCCATATTTAAGTCCTGAAAATTTTAGAAAGATCGGACACTGAACAGCCAAGTTAAATCGGAACGAAAAGCGAAGATATGTCATAAGAATTCCAACAGTAGTACGAAATTTCCCTCTATTTCTTTCGCATACCATTTTTTATTATGAGCATGTTTTAGATGTATAAAATTAAGCTATATTTAATTGAAAATTCTTATTAATAAACTTACTCAGAAAACAACCCATTTTAGAGAAGATTTTTAGTCGCAGTTGTTATCAGTTTCGCAAGTGCGAGTTCAACTTGGGAGCATAGAAAACGTCGAGGAAAGAGTAAAGCGAGCTGAACATAGTATATCAGCTTTTTTTTTTGTTGTGTGTTTTTTTGGAAGCATTATTAACACATTGTTTATTTTTGTAGTGCATTGCGGATGCGCCCGGAACTCAAGGCCGTGCCGCATGCACGAAATTGAAATGAAGCATACGCCGTGTGGCCCATACCGGTTAAATAACGTATACGCCACGGCAGTTAAGTTGCATTTCGATTGAATGGCAAAGCGAGAGGCGACACAGCTTCAATTCTTTTGTTAGTCAATGGCCCATATTTGTGCTTAATAATTTTGACATTTTTAGACAGACGGCCTGCGGCGGCAGAGCAGCAGCTGCAGCAGCAGCAGCAGCAGAGGCAGCGCCGAAAATAATGGGAATTGGAGCATGCCCAGCAGCGCATTTGTTTATGCCGGCAGGAGAACAAACTGTGCCAAATTGACGCTGGCCATGAGTCGAGTCGAGTTTTTTTTTTTTTTTTTAAATTTCATAACTATTTTGGCCTGGTCGGTCGCTTGCTTTTGACATTTTGGCCAAAACAGTTGCCGTGGCTCGCTGCGACACGCACATGGCACACGCCATGCCACTGAGAGAGAGAGAGAGAGTGTGAGAGAGAGAGAGAAAAGTACCATGCTCGCGTGTCCTGGCATGTGCGCAATACTGGGAAATTTTGGCGCTATGTGTGTGGCTGTGGCTCTGCAGATTACGTCAAACGGAAAGGAAAACCCGTTTGCTCGCAGTCAGTCACCAACGAACCTTAGAACCGAGCAGTCGCCATTGCAATGCACGCGTCCGTAGTGCTAGACACACAAACACAAAAGAACAAATAAAATAATAATCAAAAGAAAAATAAAATAAAAAAAGTCAGCAACAAAAAGAAACAAAAACGACTAAGAGAAAGGACAGCACACTGACACACACACAAGCGCACACAAAGACTGGGCGGGGGGGGACTGAGAAACAGAGATTTACAAGTGCAAGCAGCGAAAAAGTCTTCTGCGCCCAAAAATAGAGTGAAATGTGCATGTTGTTGTTGTTGTAAAGCAGGATATAACGGAAACTAACCTACATTTTCGCGCTCTTTCGCACGCTTTCGCAGTAGCCAAGACCAACACATACACAGTCACACACACACACATTCAAAGCAACTGTGACGCTTGTGCTGTTGCTCTCTCGCTCGCGCGCGCTCGCTGCCCTCGCACAAAAGCAAAACGAAATCAACAGTAAATTGTAATAACACTTCTCAGCTTAAGGTGTGTGCGTGCAACGCCGCTGCCGCCGCCGCAGTCGCCGCCGCCGCCGCCGTCGCTGTCATCGTGTGCGTGTGTGTTTGTATGTGTGTCAAACAATGTGCGTGCCAGCGCTATTTTTTGTTGCCTTTGCCAGCCACCTCCGCTTCCTTGTTTAGCATTGTTGCATAGAATCGCAAGACGGCGATTGCGACTAAAATATAAATGTAATTAATGTTAAATATATACATATATATACACACACAACAATAGGCAGGCAATAGGCAGCAGCGACCGCAATAAACATAACAAAAGTGTGCCCAGCTGTGGCCAATTGAAGTAGCCGCAGTAAAGTGAAGCGAAAAGGAACCAGAAAATATCAACAATCGAATGCAGCCGCAAGCAAAATTACATATCTGTATGTGTGTGTATGTGTATGTGTGTGCATATATAAATAGTAACTAGTGCATTGGCAAATTGAAATGTAAACGCACACACGCACAAGCCTGCGTACACGCGTGTCTGTCTGTCTGTCTGTCTGTCTGTGTGTGTGTGTGTGTATATGAGCGTTGTTCAGCGATTACATAAAGAAAATACCAACTGCAGCAACAGCAACAACAACTACAATAAAATGCAATAAAAAGCAATTAAACATATTTAAAGGTAAATCAGCGAACATTTTAATGCACTCACACATTGCCTATGTATGTATGTGTGTGTGTGTGTTTGTTTTAATACATGTGCTGGGCGGGTAACGGGTGTCTGCCTGGTGGGCGGGCCGCTGCGGCCATTGCGGTTGCGGCTTGTGGAGTTGCTGGTTCCTTTTTTTGGTTTTTGTTTTTCACTTCTTGTTTTTGGCCCATAAATTAGCGCTTGATGTTCTGCACTTAACTAGCGCAGCAGCAGTTCGTGCGGCAGTTGAAAAAGTAAGAAACAAGAAAGTGTAGCATAGCGCAAGGCGCAGGCCAGCTTCCTGCTGCCCACACGCGGCCTGAGGTCACGCCCAAAAACAACAAGAAGACGAACAAAAAACAAAAAAAAAAAACAGAAGAAAAATTAAAATAACCGCGCCTCGTCTTAACTTGGCTCTGTTGAAGCCGTCGAGCTGCTCTTATTGCGGTAATAAAAAATATTTTGACGATTTGTGTGCTTAACAAAAAGCGCTGCAGGTGCGAGGGGGAGGCTAAGGGGACGCATACCGCAGGGGTTACGCTTACTGATTACTGCCCGCTGCTAGGCACACACACACACACACACATACAGATACAGTAACTTATCCTTTAGCCGCGCGCAAACTCGTTTTCCATTTCTTTCAAAGAAAATGCACGCGTAGCAACAACTTTTCTTGCAGCCTGCTCGGCGATTGATTGGCTTTTCTTGGAAATAATTAGAAATTATATATATACATAAGATTTAAGAAAAGTCTTAAGCGCATGCAAATAAATATCCAAAGGGAGATAGACATCGTCTTTCCAGCTTAAAATAATATTTAAATTCCTTCTTTCAATTTCATATGAAAATTCTATTAATATTGGCTTATATTTCATATTTTTAGATTTAATAATTAATAAATGTTTTTTTTTTAAATTTGTTTTATATTCAATTATTAATTTGCACATTTCTCTTACTTCTGTGCGCTCAAGCGTGCGTTCACTGTACCCAAGTACACGGCTCTCTAAGGCCGGGCCCGCCTTTATGACTGCATTGTTGCGCCCTCTTGACACCTGCGCGCCAGCCCCTGCCCCCGCCACCCCACCACCCACACAACTCCCTGCGCCCGCGCTCAATCACAGTGTGGCTTCCGACAGGAGGCAGGCATCACACCTACCTGCACTATGCGAGTGTGTGTGTGTGTGTGTGTGTGTGTGCGCGCTGGCAAACTTGATATTGAATATTTTATGGCACTTCATCTAACGTTTCTCCATTTCGCCAGCGTCAGCGGTGTCAAGAAGTTTGTAAAACACAACAGGAAGCAGGCCTACCCAACCACCACCCCCCACCAACCTATCCGGCCACAATAACAACAATAACAGTAAAGACACACACACACACACACACGCACACAAGCAGCATCCGAGCGTGGCCTCCTTCTATTTGCCTTTTGCTGTGCGCCATTTATCAATTCTTGTAACTTACTTTTAGTTGTGCGCACGTCTGTGTGTGTGTGTGTGTGTGTGCGTGTGTGTGTGTGTGTGTTGCCATAATGTTAATTAACTTTATCTTTATATAGCTTTAAGTCTTAAAGCTTGCACATTTTCCGGTTCTGTGTGCGTGTGTGTGCTTATCATTTCCGTTACGCACATTACGTATACGTTACGTAAACGTAATGCGAGCGCATTACGTACACGCCGCATAAGCCGCCCGTGCAGGTGTCTTAAGCTGCGCATTAGCGTCAGCCAATTTCCGCTTAATAACGGCCACAATTGACAGCGAATCGAGCTGCAGCTGAATTTAAATAGAACTATAAATGAAAAGATATATGTGCGGGAATTACGAGATATGAGCGTTACTTAACCAAAATCAAGGAAACATTTTCATTGTTCTTTGTTCAACCAAAAAAGTTTGATATGAGTCAGTCATTTGGGCGGCAGAGCCAGAGGGTTGCTGGTTCAAATCCATCGACAAGTGTTTATCTGAATTCCAATTCAATCGGACTACAAGCACCGAATCCCCAACGCATTTGCACTAATCTAGGGCTTGCGACTCGTAACTAGATATATGTATGACTATAAATGGGCTGAAAAAACTAATAAGCTGTCGCTTTTCTCATTTGCCATTTTGCAGTTAACCCAAATACAAAGCACAAAATGTCGGGCCAACAACAATAATCAACGCAACAAACGCAACAAAAGGGATTTTCGAAGAAGGGCTGGAGGATGCCCATCATTGGAAACTGTCATACTCATCAGATTTGCATAGCCTTAACGGCTTTGGAACCGGCCGAAAGGCAGCTGCCAGCCAACAAATGCTAAAGAAATGCGAAATGTTAACAAAGGCGACAAACTTAACGCTAAATGCGACGATTCCAATGTGTGAGCAGCACGGACTCTAGCAAAACTCGCATAAAGCGTCAGTGAGAAAGAGAGACAGAGAGTGGGGGTGAGAGAGATAGAGAGAGAGAGGGGGGGAAAATTGTAAGCAAGACATGCAACAACAATAGCAACCCGGGCACCCAGGCACAAGGACATTAACGAGGACAATCAGTCAAGATGAGTGATGATCAGACGCTCGCTGCGCAGAATGAAGATAAAGGTGAGTGCATAAACCAAGCAGCTGCTCCTGCGAGTTTAGCAATATTCAAGCTAAATTTAGCCGCTAATTGATTACATTTGTATTTGCGTCGCTATAACTATGCCTATTTAAGCCTGTATAGTTAATTAAAGTTTAGCCAGTGTTGGAAAATGGTCTAATTTCTAGCTAAATATAGCCGGAATCTGATTGCATTTACATAACTATCACAATTGTACTTATTTAAGCGTGTATAGTTAATTAAAGTTTTGCCAGTGTTGGAAAATTAGCTATTTTCTAGCTTAATATCACCGGAAACTATTTAGATTTGCATTTGTCCCTTAATCCTAAGGCAATTGTACATATTTAAGTCTGTATTTTTAGCTAGTGTGGGCAATTCAGCCGTTTTCCAGTTAACTTTAGCTACTTGTAGAGGTTTTATGCTCAACATAAGTTTTAGCCTCTTTTTGCGACAGTTGGAAACACTGCCGCAGAGCCACGCAAGATGCCCAGATACACGTGTAAATATATACATATATATATATATATGTATATAAATGTAGTTGCCCAGGAAGCCATAAATATCGAGTATGAAACAGATTGCCGGGGACGGGCGCAGGGTGCCGGGGTCGTGTTCGCGCTTGGGTGCGGGTTGCCATCAAATCTGCGCTGCGCCCGGGCCATGCATATGAAAGCAGCTCTGGCAGAGGAGAGGCCTCCCGTCGGACACCCGGCAACTGGCCCAAAGGTAAACAAGTGAAAATGAAAATCAAGTGAAACCAACAACGACTGCGAAATACTTTGTTTGCCTGACAAAGGCGTTTGCAGCCTTCGCAAGCTGTCAACAGATCGAAGCGTACAGCTTTGAGCCCACCTGCATAAATATATCTATATCAATGTACTTTCATTCATTCATCTTTTTATCTGAACAAACCTGATGTACTGCAAAATAAAAGCTATAGCCTGCACACATGCGCGTCTATATGTCTTCGTCGTGTCTTACGTCTTCTCGGGAGCTTGAACCTTAAACTTCGTGCTCATTATAACGATTCTTAGTCCCTCAATTCTGAGATTTACGCTCATCCAAGAAACCCCATGTTTCCATAGTCAAATTTTGACTAAATTTTCACACTATTTGCAGATCATCTTCTTTCCAACTTTCGAACCTTCAGGAAGCCTCAGTAAACATTCATGTTTAGCAACTATTAGCCTTTGGGTCTCAGATATAGATTGCGAATCTAATTGAACAGTAAACCGATTCGACACAATCAAGAACGATTTCTTATGGTTATGAAAGAAGTTATGTAAGAACTGAAATTATGCCAACTTCCGATACAGAACCGATCGAAAGCGTCTATATGTGTATTCGTGTAACCCGTTTTCTCTAGAGCCTGAACCCAAAACTTCCCACTTTCCACTTCTGAACACTTCTGTTCTGGGGCTCATTATATGTTTCCACGTCCAAATGTTGACTATCTTTATGCCCGCTGTTTTGGGGATCGAAGCCCCGTCTGGATGCTAAGCTTCCCAACTCGAGCTGCTTGGGCTCTCTATCTAATAGATATAGAACTTTTGGAAATATAATTAAAAGACAGCCGCAAATTTGTATGCTCCGAAAGCAAGGGGTTTACTTTAATCACGTAATTTGACTGCACTTCCCAAATTTGTATATACATTAGGCAATGCAGCACAGACGGCCAAAAGGGAGCCCCGTTTCCAGTTCATTGCGAATAATTGTTTTTAATAATCGAATAAATTGAAAAAACCAAACCGGACACTTTTTATATGCAACTCTTTTAGTTGCATACCTAATTAATATATAAAACGATTCGACACATTCAACCGATTTAAAAACACTTTATGGGCGTGGCAACGCCTACAAAAAATATATATAATCAAAGTGAGAAATCGAGCCAAGCTAATATGCCCGGCCTGGCTTGGGAGGGGGCCCACAGAGTAGAGTAGGGCCACACGCAATGCTAAAAGCTGTGCACGGATTGGCAGGAGCTGGGACAGCGGGCGGGGGCAATGGGCGAGTATTTACGGTTAGCTTTGGTGTGCGTGTGTGCGAGTGTGTGTGTGTGTTTTGTTGGGAGCCTCAACGCGGACTCGGCTTGGCTCATCAGCATAATTAAATAGCCATTGCTCATTGTGTGTGTGTGTGCGTGTGTGTGTGCAGCTCAATAAAATCTGACTCGAGCTCGAATCAAATATGCCCTGCAAGCACACACACACACACACACACACACACGCACCCACACACGCACACAACTACACATAAGGAGCAGCAGGACTGGAGGCTGTTTAAATAAATGATAAACCAAAAACGCAATCGCTCTGGGAGCGTGCTAACACCACCCACCCCTCCCCCCCTCTCTACTTTCGCTAATGACTGGCCATAAGTTACGCAACAGGGCAGGGGGGGGGGGGGGCGGTTTATCAGGGCCAGGCACAGGACAATTGCGCAGCTGGGCCAACGCTCAGCGCAATGCAGCTCGAAACAATGCACAAAGGCCGAAGCGCAGCATGTGGGCGCGGCGGTGGGGGCGTGGCCAAAAGACTGCGACAACGGATTACAAATATGAACGGAAACGGAAACTAATTAAATATGTAGAGCAAACTGTGTGTGCGTGTGTGTGTGTGTGTTTTTTGCCTCTTCTCGCAGTTTACCTTGGACTGCATTCTATTTTATTTGTATTTCTTTTTATTTTTTTGCAATCTTTTATGCTTCTTTCTCTTCTTTTGGGCCGCAATTCAATTTGCCTTTTGGCCAGGAAGCGCGCCGAAAAGAAAGAAAGTGCAGCTACATCGCTCGCTGACTGGCAATTATGCCACACACACACGCACACACACACATTCACAATAGTCACAGTTTCGAGCTAGCCAAGCCGCAGCTCACCATTGAACTTGTGCAAAGGTCTGGGCACAGCTGCAGCGAGTCTTAACATGAATGCGGCTTCGACTGGTTTATTTTGTTTTCAGTTTTGGAAAAGCCAACAAACACACACAAACACACACGCACATAAGTGCGCCTGTGTGCCTCTGTGTATGTGTGTCTGTGTGCAATTTCCTACTGAACCCATGTTGAAGAAAAAGGGTATCATGGGTTTTTTTGGCTAAGAGCTGAAGACAAGAAAAAAAACACTTGGCCCTTTATATATCTCTAGAATAGAATCTCAAGCCCAGCAGCTTCTTTCTGCTGCCCTGGCACACACTTTAGAACCTTTCTCTTTCTCTCTCAAGAAATCATTTGACAGCTAGACAGCCTAGGGTATCTTGCTAGTCGTTCAGTTCAATTGCCTTTCTGTAGCTTTGAGAATAGCTTTGCTTCCGCATAAACCAAGTTGCGCATCTGCCGAAGATGTTGCCAGCCGGTTTCTGGTTGCAGGTTGCTGCTGCTGCTGCAGTTGACTTTTTTTTTATTGCTGCTGCTGCTGCAGTTTCTTTTGCTGCTGCTGCTGCTGCTGCATTATGCAATACGGGGAAGATGTGCGTTGGTTGCATTTAATGTTAATGTGCGACCGCCAACCGGTTGCCCATCAATGTAGCCCTGCTTCCCAGTCTCCCACTCTGTCTCCCTCCCTACCTCTCCCTCCCTCCCACTCTCTCTCTCTCCCCATCTCACTCTCACCCTCCGGCTGCTGCTTTGCTGTCGTAGTCTTGGCTGTTTGCCCGTTTATCATCATCATCAAGCGTTACATACGAACTTGCAACTTGATTTTCCCAGTTAGTTAATGACTTTTAAGGTCTGGCTTATATAGCATATTGCTTATATCTATCTGTAAGTTTGTTGTATTTGGAATTTACCTAATCATCTATACTCTAACAATTCGGGGCACACACTTCACAATCAAATCGTGTTTGTAACGCTGCGAAAGCAGCTCAAATCAATTTGTTGTTGACTCGCTTCAGATATCTTCGTCTTCTATAGCCAACATCAGATCTCTTCTATATCCTGCAGATTCAAACTTATTTATATTATTTATTTATTTACTTTCATTTGTCTACAGAGTATTAATCTATAGAAAATAGTTTAAGTGAATGCATTTCCATCAAATTTGAACCGGCGACTTCTTGCTTGCTGGCTCTACGTGAAGTCGATTGCGAATAATTGTATATGCCACTCTTATAGTTGCATACCTAATTCAAATAAACCGATTCGACACATCTAACAGATTAATGGATCGTGCGAATATTATTAGGAATCAAAAAAGAACTCTCATTATTATGAAACAAGTTTGGTAAGAACTGAAGTTTAGTTTGACTCGAAAGTTATAGAACGGAACTGAATCCATCTTGTTCATTATACCCATTCCACAATCCTTAGCTCGACGCTAAGGATGCAAAATCGGTACCCAGGGAACACTGCGAGGAGGCCATTATAATTTGAATGGGGTCATAACTAAATATGACCTTCGAGTCAACTTGAAATGCTTTAATTGGTTTTTATTAAAATATTTTCATATAATGTTAAATTAATTTAAAGAAATTATGTAAATATTTGCATCGACTTAAAAGTGTTTTGCCCATTTGTCTTGTTGCCAACTTAAGAATTTTTAGTAAACATTAAAGCTTGCCAGCTCTAGATGCAGATGTATAGCAATAAAAACACAGTCAGAAATTGGAATGTTCAGAAAATGAGGATTTATTTATTCCTTCAATTTGAGCGGGCTATTTGGCACACTGTCGACATAATTGGGCTCGCCGACGACCACATTTGGCAGCAGGGCAGCGCAGAAGGCCAGAAGCAATCCCAGTTTGAAGTTCATTGCGAAGGAATTCTTTTTGAATGTTAAATGAAACACTAAACGCGTCTGCTTTTATACGCACCTGTTGTGCTCAGTTATGTAACTGTGGTGTAATCCGATTTTATGGTATATGATATGCATATATATATATAAATTATAATCACATTATTATGGTTATTATGAAAGCTGTTGCATAACAGGAAAAACCTTTGGGGTCCAGGCAGAAGCCCTCAAGGTTAAGACAGCTTGAATCTGTCAGAAAGTCTGCAATATTAT